TTAAAAAAAAGCATTTTTAACTGGGTTGCTATTAATCTTTGAGCCATTACAAAGGGAAACTTAGTAAAGTCTTTGTTGGAACATATCAAACATGAAACTCTGACTGCTGCCACACCTTTATCTGTGAGTCAGCGACTTCTGTCATTGTGATGCGTACAGTGACAGCTGCTACAAAAGGTCTATGAGCTCTATGAGCAGGTTTTAGATGTGCAAATTGACTTTTCCATTGCAGCTTTCTTGCATCATGCTTCTGTGCCAAGTTTATTTCTTTCTTAAATGAAATCATTTCTTTCAACAACTCAGCAATCTTTTTTCTACACACTGGGCTCTGCTCATAGTGAGTGAAACCAACCCTTGTCTATTAGGAGATTTACACATGTCGAGGAAAAAATATAACTAAAAGTGGACTCCTTACTCAAGTCCATATATAGCTTCCAAGACTTAATGGGTCCTGCACTTAATCTAAACAACCAAAAGCACTTGCCCTTTTCCTGATGGGTGCCCCAAGTGTTCTTTTCTTGAGGTAAATTTTTATTTATTTATTTATTTAATGTGTGTGCATGTGGAGCCCTGCCTGTGCCCCTCAATAAGAACATTTGACTATTTTTTAGCTCAGTAGGTAGAGTGGTGGCCCCATGATCGGAAGGTCGCGGGTTTGACTTCACTGAACGGCTACCCTGAGGTACCCCTGAGCAAGGTACCGTTCCTACACACTGCTCCCCGGGCGCTGCATTGGTGGCTGCCCACTGCTTCACTGGGTGAATGGGTTAAATGCAGAGGAGCAATTTCCCTATGGGGACTAACACATACACATTATTAATCACAATTTTGCTAAATAAAAGGTTCTGGTTTGCATAAGTCACATGACTACCATTAACCAATGCTCACCGTTGATGGCAGAGCATACTGGTTATGAGCCAGGAATGAGCTAGCAAAGAGCATGCACATTTTTTGACACCTGGGCGGTGCGCAGCTGTAGTATGATGAGATTCCATATTAGATTCTTGATGAATGTGGGTTGTTGTTATTCAGCCTGGTTCTATCTGCCCCTTTTTTACTGGAGCACCCGCCCCTTCAAACATCTCTGCACGGCCCTGAAGCAGGGTACACTTTAGGGTGTTGATACAGTGAGCTAGAAAAGCCAATATCACATGAGCATACATTGTCCTTAGGGATGATATCTGCTTCTGATGAAACCAAAATGTAGGTGCATCCATAATTTATTTGCAGTCTTTGGTTATTCATAATATCAGTAAACAATAATATCTCCTTACTTGTAGGCGATGAGTGCAGGGAAGCTAGTAACAGACACAGTAGCCAACTGTTCACACTAAATAACAGCCGTCTCAATGGACAGACTAGATGCACTATTAACCAGGTGTCAGGGATTGGACTGGGGCACTGTTACAATGGCAGGTGGAGTGAGGAAGAAAGGATGATGAATCCAGCCCAATCCAGGATCTTGCTAACACAAATTTGCACATAAGGAATACTCAAAAAAGGTTAGCCACACAAAAAGAGGAAATGTCAAGCCATCAAGGGCTGTAACAAATAGATGCTCTGTTTTTCCACCACAGCCATTTCTACTTGCCACACTTCCCTCCAACCTTTCCACTTTGTTTAGCAGCTGTGTGATGGGTTTGCACGATGAGTCTGTAGGGATTAGACTCCCAGATAAGGGGGCAAGTAGCCAGTTAATGTGAAATTCCATCAAGCCAAATTCATGCAAATGACCCCAGCTGCAAAGGCTTACAGAACAGCCTTACTCTACACACAAGCAGACACACACACTTTGCTTGACAAAGTATGTGCATATGCAATCCTGCACACATGCATGCTCACATGTATTCTTAACAGTAGCCGACACGTTCTTAACGGGAACGATAATGGTCTCATCCTTGTGTCTCTCCATTTGCTAATGTCCCATATGTGCTCACTTGCTAGAAATTAGCTCTTCTGCCTGTTTTCATTCTGTTCACTGCACTGCAAATGGCAAATGTGTCCCTTATGTAGAGATATAGCATCTCGATTAAAGGAAAAGCGTAAACCTCATTCCTATCCTCAGTTTTAGAGCGTTGAAGACAGGACAGAAAGGTTTTGAGCTGCCTTGGAGTTTGAATTTACAAGTGAACTGCACACAGAGTACCAGAGCAGTGTAACAAGACCACAGCAACAAAAAGAGCAAATGCTGAATACACAATTTGGATGCAAAAGAAAATCTATTTAAATATTAATTTCAATTAATTTGTCCTACTTTATATTTTTTCGCCCCTTTTCTTCCTTTTCTCCAAGAAGTGCGAAACATTGGAGAAGCTGTCTGACAACATTAAAAGTTGTGTTAAATAAAAGCAGACAAGTTTGCCTGAACACCCAGTGGAAGAATAAAAGATGAGAAGCAACTTCTTCCATAACTTCCCCTCTCATCTTTCCACTCGCCATGTTGGATGACGCAGTAAAATCTGGAGATTGTTCTCAAAAGGTTGACAGATTAACATAAAATGAAAAAATGACAAATGAATAAGAGGAATCCGTCAGCACAGGAAAATAATTTCACATTACTTGGTTTCAATATGGGAATATATTGAAGAATTGATCAAATATGCCTAAAGTAAGTGGAGAGATACAACTTCACACCAAGAAAACCTTACTGTGCAAATCATGATCAATGCAATGTCTAATATCTGTTTGATTCACAGTTTGTCTGCATTTATGTAATTGCCTAAGTGGTCTCGAGTGCCTCATGCTGTAAATCTGGACCCTTTGGACCCCGTCTGGAAACATCTAAGTTATGTTTCATAAATGTTTTCTACTTTGCTTTTTTCCACCTTTGTTTCCACATAACCCCCAACCTCATTTTTCTTTTTCCTTCTGCTCTTTATCATACCCCATTTGATATGTGTGTTGTGCTTTGTTTTATCTCCGTCTGGAGAATAAAGACACTGTGGCAGGCCTGCAGACTCCCCATACAGCTGCCATATAAAACCTTGATTCCTCTACCAAAGTACAGACTACATCAGGAAATGGTTAAAGCTTTCATTTTGAAGGCTTTTCTTATCTTTTTTATGTGTTCAAGCTCAACAAACCGCGCATTTAAAATCGTATCTTATTCTATTCTAGTTACAACATGAATGGTGCAGAGCAGCCTCACATTACTTGTCTTGTCAAGAGACTGTTTTCTCATTTTAACAGTCATAGGACACATGGGGGTCATAAAGGTTGGTGCTTAATGTGAACCTGTAATAGCACATGAGCCATATGACACTTTATCAAATCAATAGGTCTCCCAGGACAGACACAAGGAGAAAACTATCTGTGAAATGACCTTTGCTAACATCAGGTGATTCTGTTTCAAATGGTTTAATGACACATCATCTTCTGGCACAGGGATTACATTTAAATGTGTATACACATAAATAATCCCATTATGCTACAATAAGGATCTGCTCTGGTTGACTTTCAGGGTGTTTATGATACAGACACTATATTTGTAATTCTTTCCTGTAAGCTTTACACACTATCTCATGTCCCCTGGTGTGAAGATCACCTAAATATTCAAGTGAGCAGGGAAGTTTTTAGTGCATGAGGAGAGGGAAAAAAAAGCGCAAATCTTCAGGTGATGCTTGGAGTCATGTTTGACTTTACTTTCTGCTATCAAAAGTGATAAACTTTCAGGGGAAATGCTGGGTATTATACAGAAGTGAGACACTCCAACAGATAAGAGTTACACCAGGAAAATGATTGCATGATTGCAGCATTAAAAAAAAAAATAATCTGGAGATAATTTTCAGCAACATTTTTTAAGCTTTATCTAAAGCTCTTCTTTGTAGGTTTTATCAGCCCATCTTTCACATATGGAATTATTAATGAGTCAGGGGTTACATATAGAAGACTGTAGTGTAAATTCCAATAGGTTCATGAATGCAGCGCCATCTGGTGGTGATAGGAAGCACTTTTCCAAGACTAGGTAATTTCTGTTGACTGTGACAAAGGAGAGACATCTGCAAGTAAAGCCCCATCTTTCACTTGTACACAGAAATTATTGAAAATACAAGCTCACATAATATCAAGAACTTCATCCCACAGACAGTGAAACTGAGGAAATGCAATTTTCCATTTAAACTTTAAAACAAGATCAGTAACACACAGAAAAGTCAGTTTCATGACATTTTTTTTGCCATAGGAAGGGACTCGAAATTGGTTCAAAGTTACCCAAAACTTCAGAACTGTATGGCTCTGTGTATCCTGGTATGCTTTTCGTGTACATTGCAAAAAACAATGACATGGCAGTGGAGGCTATTAAGGCCTGAGCCAAATAAGCTTTCTCACTTTACACACTGGTCAGATTCAAAGGTAAGAGATGTGTTAACTGCAGAAAAACAAAACAAAACAAAGGGCTACTTCTTAACCCTCTATTAATCACAACTTAGTGAGTCATGAGCGAATTGGAATAAATCTTAACATAACTATTCCTACAAGCCCCATTTAGATGCCTGCACTGCATAACTTGATTTTGGGACAAAAACCCCCAAAAACAAACAAACAAACAAACAAACAGGCTCAGTCAAGCTACTTAAATCTCAATTCTACACTCCTGACCTTCAGACTAATTTCAGTGTCAATTTATTTGCCTTTAGCGTGTACACCTGTAGAACGGCTATCACACCTCATTAAACCACACTTCCAATATCAACAGTCATATGTTGATACAATATAGAAGAGAATTTTCCTTCACCATGAACAGTTTAACATCACATACAGCATTTGACCTGAGACGATCTGTAACATCTCCCTTTCTCAGTTGCCATCGCCCGCCTTGTCCTTGCTCTTGTCCCGTGGCATGCGGCCCAGGTTAAAAAATTCCAGGTTTGGCCTCATGTCTGTGAGATGGGCGAGCCTGTTAGACATGGCAAAGAAAGCAGCAATGGCGGCTATGTCCCAGGCGTCCTCGCGGTCAAAGCCCGCTTCCTCCAGAGATTTAAAGTGCTGCTCTGTGATGGTGTCGCAGCGACACACGGCCATGGCAAAGTCCAGCATGGCACGCTCCCGAGGGGCCAGGTCAGCATTTTCATAGTTCACAATGACCTGGGGAAAACAGAGCACTGATTAGACCTACAAGTGCGTTTTGCTGATTTATGGCAATTAAGAAAAACCAAACAGGAAGGTCACATGCAAACAGCATCTGTATTAGAAAGTAAAAAAGAGATGTGACAGGCAGCCTAGTTTTAATGTCGCACATCACATAATGAGTGTATATACACAAAATACCTTAAAACACCTTTGTTATAATTACTGGATTTAAGATTATACCTGATCACAGAGTGTGGGGTTCTTTGAGTAGATGCGATGCAGAGCACCGTGGGATACCACACAGTACAGACACCTGTTGTAGATACTGGTTGCCACTACAATCAGCTCACGATCTGCCTTGGTTAATCTACCTGCAAAACAATAGACATTTAAAACTATCGGAAAAATACTGAGTCAAAATTACATTTGCTGCATTTAAGGAAAAGGTGCAAACACTTCTCACAAAAGAACTTATTAGCCTCACAAACATGTTCAAATAACAATCCAGTCCTGTACTAAAAGACTGAAGTGAACCTGATCTAGTTCAAGTTTTACCAATAAATCAGTACACCTGCTACTTGGACACCTGAACAATCTTAGGCGCAATCTCAACTCTGTTTAGAATTAAAGCCAATCTGCTCTCAGGCTGTGGTGCATTGTTCAGGACAGATTTTATTTTAGATGTACAGACAAAAGGCTAATACAAACATGCCTACACCCGGAAAAGTTAATTTACATTGTAGCAACAAAATAGCCAAACAGTGAAAATGGCAGCGATTGTTAATATTAGTGCTGGAATGAGCCATTTCCCACATTGCATCAAGTTTACGTCCCATCTTGAAGGCTTTTAACAGTGACTCACAGGTTACACATTACCAAAATGATCTGAAATGAAAATAAACACAACTGAATTTTAAGTTAAGAAAAACAAAACAACCCCTGTTACAGGAATACTCCACAAATATATTGCAGTTGTGATTTCCTCATCAATCCCCTGCAGTGCACGCGAGTATGAAAAGAGCTCATTTTACGCGTGTTGGATATATTCATTCATACTAGGCAATATGATGCATTCTTTTTAAAGGTAGCTGCTAAGAATGCATACCAAATCTGCAGCACTCCTTACTTTTAAAAAGCAAGGCTGGTGCACACAGACAAATAATGGCTTATGGATTCATTGAACCCAGAGTGCTATAGATATCCTGGAATGTGACAGGATTTACATGTGTAGTTTTGCAAGGGATGCAGGTTTTGAATTTTAGAAATGCTTTTCTGAAAGGAGCAATTCATAAACAGGTCACGACTACATGGAGTCAGGAAATCTAACGTCCATCCATCCACACTTTGGCCAATTTAGACTCACCAATTAACCTAACCTCACTAAAAGGGTGTCTTTGAAGCCCGAGTACCCAGAGAGAACATCCAAACGCCACACAGAAAGGCCCTGGACCTCCCTGCTGTGAGGCAACAGTGCTAACCACCACACCACTGTAATATCTGTCACACACAGTCACACACATACGACAATAAACTCCAAAGACTTTCTCATCCCTACTGAAACTACTAAAAAAGCAAGTTGTGTCACCATGGTTCATGTCAGTCTGGGTGTTGTGTTTCTCAGTGGGAAGAGTGGGGCCATTACTGAAGTGTGTGCGCACCTTCTGGGGCCTAACGTTTCCCAGAGTTTGTCCATGCCATTGAATCGCAGACAAAAACGCACCTGCTGCTAAAACAAAGACATACAGCACACAAGCACACCTGTGTCCTTGTTCATCAGTTCGTTGTAGTATGCAAAGAAGGCTCTGAACTCTGCCGGCCTGTGAGACAGAACTTTGAAGACATTGGGCAAAAATCCTCCCTGTAAGGAAATACAGGTTTAATGGGGAGCAGAATAAAGTTCAGCAGACTTAAAGACCTTGAACGCCTCATATGTAAACCTTTGATTCCACTTCCTCCATAAGCTCCACTATATCGTACGGCAGATCTTTCTGGTAAGGAATTGGGTATCGGCTGATTTTCTCTGGTGGAGAGCCACTGGAGAAAGATCTGGTGCACATCGCTGTTGCCACCTCCCCCTTCCCCCGTAACAAGCAACCTGAACGGAGAGACACCTGCAGGGAGGACAGCGCAGTCACGTAAAACCACCCATAAAGTGCGCTTTCTACAAAGTGGAAAAGTGTGGAACAACTTACAAGCTGTGTCAGATGAGGGCGGAACAGCTTCGAGATGAGGTTACTCGCCATGTCATTCAGCAGAAACTGGAGGCTGGTGTGAGATTAATCTGATCGTCAGTCAGCTACTGCTGTATCCAGGCGGAGTGATTTTCAAGGAAGTCAGACTAATCCTTAAGAGGCACAAAGTTAGAGCTAATGTCGCTAAGTTAAGCAGGGATATTTACCTATCCAGCTTTCAGTCGACTTCACAGTGCGTCACATTACACAATAACTGAAGCAGTATTTACCATTAATCAGCTATCGTGTTAGCAAACATCTCGTTTTTAATTCGTTTACATGTCAGATGTTAACAGTCTCGTGGAAAACAAACCAATCAAAACCCAGTATGGAGGCACGCCTGCTGCACGTCCACACCCTCACGCACTAGTCCTCCTCACCGACAGGGGTCAGTCTGTGACAGGATTGAAACGGTTAGCCTGATTGCTGTGGGTCGTTTAAATAGTTAATTAAGCGATGCTTAAATAAGGCAGATAAAATATTTAAATTGTTATTAATATTTATTGTTTAACTTAACTTGTGATTATTACAGCTGACTTTCGTGTTTATCAAAATTAGTGAAGAAAAGAGACGCGCGTTCCTGAGAGACAGAACTGAGGGCATCAACTTCCCAATATCGACCTCTGACTCGGAAGTGACTTTGTTAGGAACAAACGAGCGGCTGGTTTTTGTTCAATACACGAAAAAACATCTTTTAGAAAATATAATAAAACGATTTTTGAGTTGGGACTAAACGTAAACAGACCGAAATGTTTTACCATGTAAGTATTTGTATTGCTCTCTGTATATAATCACTAACAGCAGTCTGGTTCTGTTGTTGATACGAGTTTGGCTGGCGTGCTTGTAGCTACTGTAGCTTTGTAAAACTTTAATATATACCCTTAAAAGCTGTTATCACTGTTGCGCTTTTATTGTCGTGTGGAGATGCTACAAGTGTGTTTTTTCTCTTGTTTTTGAACGGCAGCAGAATAGGTTGAGCAGTGACGTTGTCCACGGCAAGCTAATTTACAAAAGCCTTGTTTTCACAGATTTCTTTGGAGCACGAAATCTTACTACATCCGAGATATTTTGGTCCGAATCTGCTGAACACCGTGAAGCAGAAGCTCTTCACAGAGGTCGAGGGGACCTGCACTGGCAAGTGAGTGACTCTTGTGTTTGACTTAAAAATAGTTTAAAACACAGGCTAAAAAGAGGCTGAAATTTGACCAGTGGCTTCTGGAAAACTGGGCCACAGATGGAGGTTGTTTTGCAATTTAAATAATTTGTTTAATTCTGTCTTGCAGGTATGGCTTTGTCATTGCAGTTACCACCATTGACAACATCGGTGCTGGCGTAATCCAACCAGGCAGAGGTTTTGTCCTCTATCCAGTCAAATACAAGGCCATTGTCTTCCGTCCGTTTAAAGGAGAAGTTGTGGATGCAGTGGTCACTCAGGTTAACAAGGTGAGGGGCAGGTTTAGAGTCTTAAAACACAGTTTTCATTCCATGCTGTAGGAAAGTATTTGCCCCCTCTCTGATTTCTTAGTTTTTTGTTTGTGTGTGTGTGTGTGTTTTTTTTGTTGTTGTTGCATATTTGATGATCATCCCCCCAAAAATATATCAGAGAGAGGGTTAATATTTAACGTGAGTAAATACAAAATGCAGTTTTAAATGAATTCATTTATTAAGGGGTGGGGGGGAGCTATCCAAAACCTAGTTGGCCCTGTGTGAAAAATAATTCCTGCTACATTTTAAATCATATATTAAATATGACTAATCATTTTGGAATTTGTTTTTTTTTTGGAAAGTTGAGTTCAGTTTCACTATCCACACCCAGGCCTGATCACTGTCAAACCTGTTGACTCAAGAACTCGCTTAACTTGTTGGGGATTTCTATGTTTGTTTGTTTTTTTTTTACCTTACAATATAAAGTGCCTTGAGGCAACTGTGGCACTAGATATATAAAACTGAATTGAATTGAAGTAGGACTGGTCTGACAAAGTGATGTAGACTAAAAGATCTCAAAAAGCAACACACTAAAGAAACTCAAGAACAGATGAGAAACAAAGTCATTGACACATGTCAGTCTGGGAAGGGTTACAAAGCCATTTCTAAGGTTTTGGGACTCCACTGAACAACAGTGAGAGTGTTTAACTACAAATGGAAAAATGCATTCAGCTGTCTGTGCATTGAGGCTCTCTGTGACTTGGGTTATGCAGCAGGACAATGAGTCAAAACAAGTACACCTCTGGATGGTTAAAAAACTAAAATGAAAGTTTTGGAGTGGCATAGTGAAAGTCTGGACTTAAATCAGATTGATATGCTTTGGTATCACCTTAAACAGGCCATTCATGATTGAAAACCCTCTAATGTGGCTAAATTCAAAACAATTCCGGAAAGAGAATTGGGCCAAAATTCCTCCACAGCGATGTAAAACATTGCAAATGCAATAGTGGCATGAAAAGTTACTTTTTTACACCGTGTATTCCATCCATCCTATAAGATGTAGAAATATAAAAAAAATTGTACTTCTGAATTTTCTGAATCATTTTAACAGCAAAACTGTTAAACTAAATGTGTCCAGTTTTAAGAATGAAGTCATGAATTGCTGAAAAAGAATAGTGTTCTGTCTTCCTTTTGAAATGTTTCTAAATATGTTTGTAATTCTTACAGGTCGGATTGTTCACAGAAATAGGTCCCATGTCCTGCTTCATCTCTCGCCACGTGAGTCAGCAAGATATTTACAATTGTGTTTAATTAGTTGTCATTTAGCGCACTTTGCAGTATTTATGTTGTTTGTAATTTAATCTCATGATACATTTCTTTTGCAGTCGATCCCCTCAGAAATGGACTTTGACCCCAATTCTAATCCACCCTGTTATAAGACAGTTGATGAGGTATTGTTTCATTGTTAAGTTGAAACAATAATTGTGTTACAGAAACATGTATTAAAATACATTTCTCTTTTTTGCCTTTATTGGCTTTTAAAATGAAGTTAGTTATTATTATTATGTGTTTAAAAAAAGTTTTCAGCAAACTCAGACATGTGTTCACATTATAGTGAAGATAAAGGTTAAAACACAAGTGTCAGTTTTGCATTTAAGGATGTTTCTTCCTCTTATTTTTAAGGACATTGTAATCCAGCAAGATGATGAGATCCGGCTGAAGATTGTGGGAACCAGAGTGGATAAGAATGACATTGTAAGTGTTTGTTCTTA